GACTTCGCCTGGAGGTAAAAGTGTCTTTTGGGGTTGTGTGTAACTCAGCAGTGACGCTTATGTAACCATACAGTAAGTCGTGACTGTTTAACCAGATTCAAGTTTCACTGCCAAAAAGTGTGCCAGTTTTGACAGATACATACGAAAATAAGTTTGAACAGAACCACACTTTTCTTGCAGACATTTAGTTTAGCTTGGAACTGTTTACTACCTTTGGATTTGCTTGTCTATGTCCTGGTGAACTCTAGACAGAGCAGTGTGTGGCTTAAGACAATTTCGTGTCTTCATCTTGATGGTGCTGCTGAATGTTTCAGGCCTGTATATATTCTTCATGGAGTACAATGGATTTGACATTATTTTTTCTTAATTCCAAGGGAATTTTAGGTCATCTCATTGTGTGTGTTGCAAATAAGTTTGCAATATCTTTAATAACTTCCTGTGTAGGTGCACTGGAAATTCATTCCATTCAGATAAATCAATGAATTATATTGTGTTCTGTGCATAGTATCCAGAGAGAAAAACTCCCATTTCTAATTTCAAGGCTTAAAAGTTTTAAGGTTTTGCCTGTGCGGTATTATACTTGTAATTACTGTGGCATTTAGACTTATCTCTGTGTGTGAGTCTGTTTATCAGGGAAGGTTGGGTGGGATTAGAGGATGACCAAGGAAGGGTGGCTGTCAGACTCCGTTATCGCTTTCAGATTAGTAAGAGTCCTATATTGTACATGGATTGTAAATAGGGCAGGTAATTTCCAGGAGTATAAAAACATTCTTAAGGCACCAGGCAAGAACTTAGCAGCTAGAATATCTAGAAAGTGTGAAGAAGTCAAACCAATGAGGCACATAGGTATGGAAACGTGTTGATGGTGATCAGTTAGAGATATAAGCCGGAGGGACACAGTAAAGACCTCTGTAATTCATTTCTTCTCCCCAGCGTGTGATGTGAGCAGTGCGCCCCTTTAAGCATTCAGGAGCTATTTGGTGAGTGAACCATTGGTAGGGTGATCCCAGAATGACCAAAGCAAGACCTGTGAGAATATAAAGTTAGGTCAGTCATAGGAAGTCTCATGGAATCCTCCCTGTGAGTTTGATAAAAAGCACTACACGACCCAGAAGTAAAGTCCCAGTACAAAATAAGGTGCAAACGAAAGGCATATGTTGATCAGTTAAATGACATGCGACACAGCATCTTCTGGCCTGAAAGCTCTCTTACACGGGATCCCCGGGCCTGTCTCTGCCTCCTTGCTATCACTGGAGAGAATGAGCATGATTATTTATCTTGATTTCTGAAAACACATTCTACAGCCAGGTGAGTGAAAGAGACTTGAGGTCTGTAGAATGATTTCAACTTTAGCAAATAGTTTTGAATTTCTGCCAAAGAGTGTGACTTTAAAACCTCTCATAGCTCAGTGATTATCCAAAAAGAATTTTGTATATGTGCAGTTTCCTGTTCGAGTACCCCAGAGTTAATAATGTTAATTTGATGGGCTGCTGTGAGGACCTCATGCAGAGAGAGATGTGTGTAGGTGTGCTGCTGCTGCTGCTGCTGTTATTATTATTATCAGCTAGGTTAGGGGTTGGAATTCTCCATGTACATCAGCTTTTGCCAGTGCAGTCACTTGGCTTTGCTGAAGGTGAGGTATGTTTCTCTGAGGCAAAGGTGGCACACTTCTCTAGGTACATTGGGCAATTAACACACAGTACTGGTATTTACTTAATTAGCTGTACCTATTAAGCAAATATTAATTAGACAAAGCCATGGGTTTTCAGTAAGAGATATCAGACTGGAGAGTTAGATGCAGAAGGTTGCTATTTTGCAGAGTGGCTATAGAGAGATTTTTCAGAGAAACTCCAGACTTCCTATTTTAGTGGGCTGCATGCTAGCGCTTAGGCAGATGGATTGTGAGCCTCTGGCGGTGAATCAGAGCTGGCAAACATGTTGGAGTCTGTCCAGAAGTGATTGTTTTCTTCCATTCAGTGGGAAAGGACAAAGCCAAAACTGAGAATGCTGGGAAAATGTAGAAGTCTCTATTTCTACAAAATAGCCTAAGTTTAATAAAGCCAAAAAAGAGTCATACATTTTTGAGTTTTCGCCTTTAAGCAAAAATTTAATAACCTTTGTTAATTAAAAAAAGAAAATATATTTGGTCATTTTTTCTTTATCGCTTCTGTATAGCTAACAGTGTGTGGATGTATACTATAACGCTAGAAAGCTAACGTAACATCTCACTTTAGGGAAGGAATAAAATAATCACCCCAGCCACATCTATTACTTTGATTCATAGCTCAAATATTTCTATTCTTGGAACATTACTGCAGCTTTGGTGCTAAGAAAATCGCTGGAGGATGAATGACTCTGCGTCTTTCATCCTTCGCAATTTTCGCAACATCTCGATTAGTCTGACTTTGCAATCGCGCCATCTAGTGTTCGTACGTCCTCAGTACCAGAGCTCAACTTCCTTGGAAGCAAAATACCCCATAAAGAAAGTAACAAGCAAGTTACCTTAAAAACAGTGCACTTGGGAGACAATGGCATGAATAGTCCATCATTGAAATACTAACACAGATTTCTTGTTAAATATATATTTCTTATTTATCCTTATCATCTTATCTATTTCATAAATATTTTTATATACTCTCCATGGCCATACAAATTATACATATACTCCATATATTGAAATTATACTTATTTTATATTTTATTTTTATATTCTTCTCTGTACCTACCTATAGCTTTAACAAAATTGTCATTGACTTTGAAAGCAACACGAGCCAACCCAGTCATGGAGTGGGTTGGGTTAGAGTGGGCTGGATTTGAGTAGAATGAAAAGATGGAAATAGCTTGTTGTAGTATCTGATTGAACCGCATATCCTGCCCCAGGCTGTGGTTTTGTTATTACTGATGACTGTGCCTCCAGGGGTCAGGTGCTTTACTGCATAGCACAGAAACAAAGGAGGGCTTTGACGTACATGAAATGAAGTGTTTTTCCAGAAAGGAAAACAAACTTGTGTCTTCCTTGTCTTACCACTCAGACTATTTTAGACCTATCTTTTAAAAAAATTATTTTTGGAAAATATTTTTAGGAATTAATGAGCTTGGTCACAGTTTTCAAGATGTCCCAGAGACATGATTTTTATTTTCTTTGCTAGCCTTTAAGATGACTTCTAGTTTATCTATCAGTTTAGAGTTTTAAGAGAAAAAATTTATTTAATTATTACAAGAATAAAATTAATTAGGTAAGACCAGCCCTTTCAGATCACCTCTGTCATTTTAACATCTGCAAAATGGTTGACAATATGCCTGCTCTGACTGACTCTGACTGTAAAATGGAAAACCTCAGCCCCTGCCCTGTCTAATTCTGTGGCGGCTGAAGTCCCATGGTCCATGAGGATACCGCCTACCGCTCAGACCTCATCCAGTCCCTCTCAGAGGTCTGGTCTCCCTTAGCCTTTTGTCAGCTCCTCAAGGACAGGATGCTCCCTCCCACTTTGGGCTCTGTTTACCTGCTTTGCATTAATCAGGGACGCCGCCTTCTGCTCTTCTGCCCTCACTTAGTTAATTCTTACATACCCTTCAGATCTTGGCCCAAGCATCATTTCCTCAGGGAAGCCCTCCAACCCATAAATTAGTCCTCTCTTGTTATTAGCTAGCATCCAATACTTTTCCTTGTTACTGCTCACCACACTTTGTGATTATATACTTGTATTAGTATCTGCTGCCCCCACAAGATTATAAATGATGAGCAGGCTAGAATAATCCTTTTTTTTAACCCCTCGGTGCTCACCCACTGTGTTTTCTATAATGCTTGATACAGAGTACATGTGTGGGAAATAGCTGATGAAATCAATCTATGGGTCCAAAATGGAGAACTGAGATGTCCATTGTCTCAACCCATGTAGTTTTGTGAAGTCAACTCTGCTTCCTTGTCACCCTTGAGAATATTCGCTGAGGCAGGAAATCCCAGTGCCTATATTCCAGCTTGTCAAGGTACACCCCTCTGGGGACTTGTCACTTCCTGCAGCACACTCTGGGAGGGGTGTATGTTCTTACTACTTGCAGAATCCCTGGCCTTGTTCACTGCCACTCACCCTGCTTGGTGGGAATCCATCAACCTTTTTACTCCCTGCTCACCAGTCTCTCCTTCCCACGCTCCTGTTCCCTTCCTCCCAAATAAAAAACCAAAACAAGACCAAAAGTAGATAAATAAAAGACACGCCACCTCTTCCTGTGTTTACTGTCAGTCCTCTTGACGGATTATCAGGGAATGGGGAAATACAGGGAACAAAATATAAATTAATATTGCATTAAATTATCCTGCCACTCTTGTATTCAGCAGAGAATAAAAATAAATTTTGCACATTACACAAGGGCCATGTTAAGCTTTCATTGTTTATTTTTGTTGCACTTTCTCTTTCTAGAAAACTCTAAGGATTCCCAACTCTCTTAAAATGTTAGACATGCAATCATGCCGAGAATCAGTCACATTCAAAATGAGCTCTGCTTAAAAAGTTATAGCCTGTCATACTAAGCTTTAGGAATCTATAACCAGTCACCAATGTCTTCTCAAGAATGAGCGTGAAATTTTGAGAACTGAAGTTAGGGTTCAGAAATAATTAATTTTGGCATTGAATTCATACATACACACATATGTAAATTTGGTATTTTTGTAAACTGTATTGTATTTTATTTGAAGTTTGGTATATTCTCATTGTTTTCAAAAGTTACTACTCTCACTTAATGTCAAATACACACAAAAGAAAAATGCTTGAGCTTTCCAATATTTTCATACCATACTGAGGACTCCAAGTGTCCTTCTGTGTTCCTCTCTGTGGTAGCATCTTATTGGCATTACATAAGTGGGTGCTTCTTGAAAGCTGGATTGACTGATTCAATTGCCAACTGGCATAAAATTCTGACTCTTCGATGCATATTTGATGAAAAAACAAATAAAATGGCATAAGGTTTACTCCAAAGATTGTCTTCTCACTTCTGTCTCCACAGCAACACAGATGTACACACAGTGGCATCACTTCTTAAGCTGTATCTCCGAGAACTTCCAGAACCAGTTATTCCTTATGCAAAGTATGAAGATTTTTTGTCATGTGCCAAACTGCTCAGCAAAGAGGAGGAAGCAGTAAGTCGATGCATTTATTTCTAAAAAAGTTTTTTTTTGAGAGTTTTTTCAGTGCTCTTAGTCTTTAATTTGTAAACTTCCCTTTGTCTTATCGTTGGATTTTCTATTGTTTTCCGCTATTCTGTGTATTGACATCACACAGATTTAGACTTTACATGCACAACTCGGGTCTCATTTTTAATTCCCTCTCTCATCACAAAGAAAAGTGTGGCTGAAGGAATAAAATAAGCACCCCTTGTCATTTTGCTCCCCTGAAAGGTTGACGGTGGCGATACATGAGGCCAAGCGTTCTATGAAAAAACTGGATGCCTTTTTTCATATTCCTTTTTGTGTGCCCCTTAAATCACTTCAAACAATGACTCTTAGGTAGTCCTACCTACTGCTTGTTTTTGTAAAAACAGCTTTATTGGGATGCAATTCACATGCTATAAAATCACCCATTTGAAGTGTACCATTCAGTGCTTTTTAGTATATTCTCAGAGTTGTGCAGTCATCACCAAAATCTAATTTTAGAATATTTACCACATTTTCATCCCCTCATAACAAACTGCGTATCTATTGCCCATGCCTCTCTTTCCCCAGCTCTTGGCAACTGCTAATCTACTTTCTGTCTCCATAGATTTGCCTGTTCTGGATAGTTCATATAAACGGAATCATTCAATATGTTTTCTTTTGTGACTGGCTTCTTTCACTGTTTTCAAAGTTCATCCACATTGTACCCCATATCAGTATTTTATTCCTTTTATTTCCAAATAATATTCTGTTATTTATCCATTTGTTAGTTGCAGGACATGTGTGTTGTTTCCACTGCTTGACTATTATTAATAATGCTATTTATATCCACTTACAAAGTTTCGTGTGAACATATGTTTTCATTTCTCTTGGGTTTATATTGAGGAGGAGGAATTGCTGGGCCATATGTAACTGTGTTTTCTAAAGAGGCTCCACCATTTAAAATTCCAATGTGTGCAGGTTCTAATTTCTCCACATTTTTGGCCAACATTTGTTATTTCTCTTTTTTATCGTAGCCATCCTAATGTGTGTAAAGTGGTGTATCATTGAGGTTTGAGTTTCATTTCCCTGATGGCTAACGATATTAAACATCTTTTCATGTACTTATTGGCTATTGGTGTATTTTCTTTGGAGAAACATCTATTCAGACCATTTTCCCATTTTTAATTGGACTGTTTGTCTTCTTCTTATTGATTTGTAAGAGTTCTTTGTGTAGTTTGGATACAAGGCCCTTATCGGATATATGATTTGCAAATATTTTCTGCCATTCTGTGGATTGCCTCTTTATTTTCTTGATGATGTCCTTTGAGGCAAAAAGGTTTTTAATTTTCATAAAGTCCAATTTGTCTATTTTTCATTTGCCACTTGTGCTTTTAGTGTCACACCTAAGAAGGTTTTATTTAACCCAGGGTCACAAAGATTTACTCATATTTTCTTCTAAGATTTTTATAACTTTAGCTCTTATGTTTAGGTCTCTGATCCATTTTGAGTTAATTTTTATTTATGGTGTGAGGAAAAGGTCCAACATTATTGTCTGGCATGTGGACATCCAGTTGTCTCAGTGCCATTTGTTGAAGAGACTCTTCTTTTCTCTTTTGGATCTTCTTGGCACTCTTATCAAAATTGCTGCCTGTTTTTGTAAATGCAGTTTTATTCTGTTTGTTGTATAATATTGTCTGTGGCTGTTTTTGCAGTATAACAGAAGAGTTGAGTAGTTGAGACAGAAACTATATGTCCCAGAAAGCTTAAAATATTTACTATTTACAGGAAGAAGAACAGATCAGATTATATTATCCATTAGCTTTTCTGGGACCGTTTATATTTTAGAGGAAGTCCTACAATGAGAAGAAACAAAGTAGTTAATCCTTTTGTAAAATTTCCAGGAAGGTCAGGCTGCACCCCTCCATCCCACCTTCAATGATGTATCCTGAACGTGACCAGTCCTGAGAGACTTGTTTGTCAGTAGACGTATGTTTATCTATGTTTCAGGCATGCTAAAAATGAGAAGGACTGTCAGTACATCAAGGCTATTTTTCCCCCCAAATAACCTAATTATAAGTGAGGCCATCTTCCTTTTTCAGTCAATTGTGAACAAGTGTTAAAAATGTTAAAAGGGCTTCACTTAAATCTGTTTCTCCGCATAGTACTTGTGGAGATATTTGAAATGCTTTCACGTCCTTGAAAATATTTGTAAAATGCTTGCTGTGATGGTGGCAAGTTTTCAGGACAGGATCCTTCACTGACAATATGTGACACCAATTAAAAAACAATTATATGCTGATTTCCCATTTGCTTTAATTCCAAGACCAACCTTAGAAAGATAACAGTTATTCTCTTCTTTATACTCAGGGAGTTAAGGAATTAGCGAAGCAGGTGAAGAGTTTGCCAGCGGTCAATTACAACCTCCTCAAGTATATTTGCAGGTAAGAATTGTCTTAAAGACGCAACTAAACAAAACAAGACTATTTAGCCTGTGAGTAACTTATGTTTGACGAGGAACGAAATCACTTCACTGCTCTGAACTCCAGTGTTGGCCTCTGTAAAACAGAGGTTTGACAAGGTGATCTCAAAGGCTTCTTTGAGCACTAAATTTGCATGATTTTGTAATTTGTTATTTCTGAAGTCTCTCTTGCTTTTACATGTTAAAGATATGTTGCTTTGAATTTCCATCAAAATTGTTTGTACATGTTCCGTGTACCGTTGTTTGAGAGAAGAAGCGTGTATATTGGCATGGGGAAGTTCTGCATGGGAGTCCAGACTGCCGCTGACTACTCGTGTATCTTTATGCAATTGTCTGTTCTCTCTCAGTCTCAGAGTCCTAATAAGTGAAATGGTAGGAAAAACACACATTTCACACAGTTGTTTTAAAATTAAATTATATTTTTTAATGATTAATATATATGTAAGCGTTCAATAAATGTTATCTTCTTTCCATTCCTGTCCCACTTCACACTCATTGAAAAGACATTTGTAATTCAATTCTGTCAGAACGATAATTGTGCCTGGTAAAGCTCTCTCTCAGTGACCACGTTTAACTACAGTCCTGGGACAGGGTGTGCCACGTATGTGCCCCTATTTGAGAAACCAAATATGTAAAATTGAAATATATTACATTTAAATAAAGAGATTAGTGATGGATACTACTGCAAGGTATTTTAAATGATAGCTTCCCAGTCCATTTTAAAAGAAAATTCAAATTTTCAGTTCAGTCCAATGCATCATTTGTGTATGGTTTTTGCATCATGATTGGATGTGTTCAGCAGACTAGGCACTGTGGAGTTTCAGACTATTGTGAGACCCTGTGGAGTTCACTGTCAACTGCTACTGAGCAGGAATTCCAAAATCTCCTACCATAACTTTTTCTGGTGATGGTTATGTTTAGGAAGCAGACAAGACCTTAGATTTCAGAATGTGAAAAAGCAAGAAGTCTTTTCATGGAAAGCATACGCTTATTAACGTGTAAGGCAAGATTGTGAACTAATGCAAGCTATTGTAGTGGACGATAAAAAGGTTACATTATCTTTAAGTAAGGGAAAAGGGCTTCTTTGAGAACCATATTGCAAATCTTTATCTCCATAATAGAAAAACTTAACTTCTCTTGAAACATTTAAGCAGACTTTTAATTTCAACTACTTCAGATAAGAAATGGTAGTTTGACTTTTTGACCTTCAGTTTTGCTACAGTTTAGTCTGTATAACAGTAGTGAATATGTGGACATAGACACCTTTTCTTAGCATCCTGGTGTAGTGGTTAGAGCCCAGACTCTAGAGTCAGTCACCTGGGTTCGCATCTCAGCTCTGCCACTTACTACTCTGCATCCTTGCAGAAGATACTTAACCTCTCGGATGCCTCATGTGTCTCATCTGTGAAATAGAGATAACAATAGTATTTACCTCACAGAGATGCTTTGAAAAATTAATGTTAGTACAATGACTGACACATAATAAAATAGATTCTAAGTAACACATAAAATAAGTTCTTTTTTATTCTTTATCGCTTCTTCTTTGTCTCATCAGTACCGTTAGTAAGCCATGAAATGATAGAAGCTCTTGTAGAAATGAAGAGGGAGTAAGGAGTGCAAACAGCCTGAAATTACAGAAACAGTCCCCCTACTAAAATCGTTTGGGGGAAAGCCAATTTTATGCCTCTTATTCTTCAGTATCTAATAAATTGAAACAATTTGTGCTTACAGTTTTTCATATCAGTAGAACTGAGATTTTAACCTAAGCCATATTTGATCTCATTTTTAAATAGACTATAAACTTAAAGTTCACAAATTACTCCACACAAAAAGGATTGATTCCTCCTCTCTGAAATAAGGGATTGTACCAGATCATCCTATTTATAGTTCTCAAGTTGAATATGTGTCTAAATTTAATATTTTATTTAGGGGTTGGAAGGAAATCCATATTCTTCAATCTCAAGTCCATATAAGGTTTATCTAAATACACTTACTCCTGTGGCTGACAGAGGAAACCAAGCCAAGCCAGGCCAGAGGTGATATTTGATAGGACCTCTCATCATTAATGAATAATTTATATTTCATAGAATAATATATGTAATAATAATGTAATTAATATAAATAACCATTTAACAATTTATAATTAATAAAATTAATGATTTGCAATATATTTTCTCCATGTTTGACTGAGCAATGTTTGAATTTCTAAATAATTTTGTCTTCATAATCATCTTTGAACATACTCCAGTTCATAAATTTCCCAGTAACCTATTTTCTTCCACTGACAAATTTGATCCCATTGTGTTTTGTTTGGGTTCTTACATCCAACAGGTTCTTGGATGAAGTACAATCCTATTCGGGAGTTAACAAAATGAGTGTGCAGAACCTGGCCACTGTCTTTGGCCCTAATATTCTGCGCCCCAAAGTGGAAGATCCTTTGACCATCATGGAGGGTAAGTAAATGATTATGTTACATCCTCATCAAGACAACAGTGACCTGTCTCTTGGCTAGCCTGACCTGTTCTTGGAGCAAACTAGGGAAGTAAGTGAATCCATGGGGACTCCACTTATTGAGTCAAGCACTTCAAATGCAAAATACATTTCTTTGGATGTCAGGCAATTTTTTGAGTTTATTAAGCATAATAATCTACTGAATGATTTCTCAGAATCCTTCTAAAAATAAATCTAACTTCCACAAATCGTCCGTGAAGTATCATGCAAGAAGTGGAAAACTCTAATTCATTTTTTGAGGCTAATGCAATTTTCAGAAAATTCAAAAGCTACTACTTTAATATATTTTTATTAATTTGGCTTTATTTGATTGATTTCAAGAGGTAGACAAATCTGATCCTCTATAAGATAATACTGCATATTTACCTGTGGGTTGAAAGACGAGGGAATTCTTGTTTTCTAAATTACAAAATACTTCAAATTCTTTTCCGTGATGAATTGCTACTTCTGTTTATTTCCAGCAGGCTCGTTGCCTGAGCACTTTTCTTACCTGTGGTTGTTAGCACCATTGTTTTTTGCAAATTGGCCTAATTGAACATTTAAGAATTTAATAGGAAAGAGGGAAGGAGAAAAAATAATTATTTTTGGTTTCACTCTGAGTTTATTTAGTTTAGAACAAAATATCCCCTGACACTGTTCCTTCCTTGAAAATCCTGTGATTTTCATTCCTCTATATCTTATGATAAGAGCGAGAGAAAAGAGAGAGAGAAAGAAAGAAAGAAAAAGCTTTTAAGTATTTGCCTAAATCAACTCAGCTTAACTTCCTTTGTCAAATATATAATTGAACATCAGATTTTTGGCAGTAAGATAGTTGGGCCAGAGAACTTTAATTTCTGTCTGAAGAGTTTAGCAGACATTAGGAAATATAAAATTTGAAGGTACAAGAAGCTTAAAGATATTTAGTCTATTTTCTAAAAACTTTTTACTATAAAATAAAATACATACAGAAAACCACCAACACTAACCACACATGTACATGCACACACACACATCTTAATGAATATCTGTTAGACAAACACTCTAGAAATTACCATCCAGGTCAAGAAATACACCTTTTCTAGGCATGCCGAAGACCCCGCTGTCTAAAGCTACTTCTCCTCGCTTACGGCACCCTTCATCTAACTACCCAGACATTTATATCAATCACTTCCTTGCATTTCTTTCTAATTTTATCAACCAAGTGGACTTCTCTACACATTTTATTTAATCTTTACTACTTTTTTATTTGATATCTTTTTAAGTCTCTTTTAATATACAGGATCCTCTGCAGTTTATCTATTGAAAATTTAGGTTATTTGACCCGTAGAGTTTCCCGTAGTCTGGATTTTGTTGATTGCATATTCATGGTGCAGTTTCGTATTCCTCCGCCCTCTGTTTTCTGCAAATTAGGACCTGGATAAAATGCATGTTTGATATCCTTGGGAAGGCTATAGATTGTGTTGTATAACTTCCAATTATCTTTTTTTGTGATCTTAGTGCAATTCTTAAAACAATTAGTTCACTGGAAGTTGAAATGGTGATATTCTAAGTCTACAATTTTTTTCCATTTTATTTTATTATAGTAAAATACACATAACATACAGTTTACCATCTTAACCATTTGTAGGTGTGCAGTGGTATTAAGCATATTCATATTCTAGTGCTATCACCACCACCATCCATCTCCAGAACTCTTTCCATCTTGCAAAACTAAAACTCTGTACTCATTAAATAACAGCTCCCCCTGCCCCCACCTCCTGGCAACCTCATTCTTTCTGTCTCTATGAATTTGACTACTTTAGGTACCTCATATAAGAGGAATCATATGGTATTTATCTTTTTGTGACTGGATAATTTCACTTAGCACAAAGTCTTCAAGCTTCATCCATGTCGTAGCATTATAATTTTGAACCTAAGAATTGGAACACTTTTTATTTTTTTTAAAAATCTCCTTTCCTCATCTACTACTCAGTAACCCAGTGGTAACTTTTATAAATAAAAGGCAAGATAAATGCTACTTGAGTCTTTCCCTTTATTTGCCAATTTTTAAAATAATAAAATAGATTCGTAACATGCTCTAAAAGTGAGTAGTTGTTGGTGGTGTTGCTGTTCTTCTTCTCTCTGTCCTTCCTGTTATAAATATTACTAACGTTATTTTTTAAATAGCATTATAAACGCATGTATTTAAGTCTATTTGATGAGTCAATGCATTGTAATTATTGTTTCCCAGTGCTGGCCAATGGAAGCCTCTTCAAGCTGCCTTCCGAGTCCTTTTGACATGACCTTAATAATTTGGAGCAACTTTCTTTTTAGTATGACAAAGTTTTCTGGGCTCATATTATATATTTCCTTTCCCAAACTTGGAATAAGTCAATTTCCATTTCCAAAAAGTTCTTTTAGTGGGAAATAATATTTCAAGACCAAAATCTAGCTACCAGTGATGCTCATTGCTACTGGCTTGGTCATTGTTTCTAAGCCTTTTAGTGGGCAGAGCTAGTAGATATAAATGCATACATACAGACATACTTATTTCATGCACAATACACACACATACACACTTACATTTTCAAGAAAAGTACCTCACAAGTTCACACTATACTTCCAATTCAGAATCATGACTGTATGGATTTTGTTTATTCTTTTCTCTATTATAATTGTATCTTTTTTCTTCTAAATGGGAATCTGGGTTCTCAAAGACATTGAAGATGACAGAATTAGAATCTCATAATTAATCATTTGCTCAATCTTTTGTCAAACTCATAATAGACTCGAAATAACAATATCAGTACTACCAACACCAGTATGATTACTGCAAACATTTAAAAGCTTTTTACATATGCTCTTCTAATTCTCCTTTCATGTTTTAATATTTGTACTATTTCTACATTGTCAGAGTGTGCACCCTTTATATACTATACTCTCTCCCTTTTAGTTCTCATTTAGTCTTACCTCTCTAAGTAACTAGGCATTTAATGCTCACTGCTAGTTCTTATATTGTTGCCCCTCTAGTCTAGTGGTTCTCAAAATGTGGTCCATGGATACCTGGAGGCCCCTAAGATGCATTTAGGAGGTCCACGAGTTCGAACATATTTGCATAATAATACTAAGCTGTTTTTTGCCCTTTCATTGAGTTGACGCTTGCACTGATGGTACAAAAGCAATGATGAGTAAAACAACTGTCATCTTAGTATGAATCAAGGCAGTGGTGCCGAACTCCACTAGCATCATTATATGCTTCACTGCCGTGCATTGGCAATAGGGAAAAAAAATGCCAATTTTACTTAAGAGAGTCCTTGTTGAACAGTAAAAAATATTCACTGTATTAACTCTCCTCCCTTGAGAACTCATCTTTTTTAGGATGAGAGCCTTCTTGAGAATTTCTTGTAGGGGGGGTCTTGTGGTGATGAGCTCCCTTAGCTTTTCTTTATCTGGGAAAGTTTTTATTTCTCCATCATATCTGAAGGATATTTTCACTGGACAGAGTATTTTTGGCTGAAAGTTTTTGTCTTTCAGAATTTTGAATATATCATTCCACTCTCTCCTAGCCTGTAAGGTTTCTGCTGAGAAATCCACTGAAAGCCTGTTAGGAGCTCCTTTGTAAGTTATTTTCTTCTGCCTTGCTGCCCTTAGTATTTTTTCTTTGTCATTAACTTTTGCCAGCTTTACTACTATATGCCTTGCAGTAGGTCTTTTTAAAGTGATGTAATTAGGAGATCTGCTGGCTTCGTTCACTTGTATTTCCAGCTCTTTCCCCAGGTTTGGGAAGTTCTCAGCTATTATTTCTTTGAACAAGCTTTCTCCTCCATTCTTCTTTTCTTCTCCTTCTGGAACACCTCTAATCCTTATGTTGCATTTCCTAATTGAGTTAGATATTTCTCTGAGAGTTTCATTTCTTTTTGGTCTTAGTTCTCTCTTCTCTAGCTGAAGCGTTTCTATATTACTGTCCTCTAAATTGCTAATTTGGTCCTCCATATTGTCAGCTCTGTTGTTTAGGGAATCCAGATTTTTTCTTTATCTCATCCATTGTGTTTTTCATCTCCAACAATTCTGATTGGTTCTTCTTTATGGTTTCAATCTCTTTTGCAAAGAAGCTCCTGAATTCGTTGATTTGTCTTTCTGTGTTTTCTTGTAACTCGAGTGTTTTTATGATAGCTATTTTGAATTCTCTGTCATTTAGGTTATGAATTTCTATATCTTCAGGGTTAGTTTCTGGGTACTTGTCACTTTCCTTCTGGTCTGGAGATTTAATGTACTTTTTCATACTGCTTGACAGCATGGAGTTTTGCCTCTACATAGTTATTATCTGGTTGCAGCTTCCACCTGCCACCCCTGGGTGGGGATCAGATGCTGTGTATTCTGAGCCCAGCATGATCTAGGGCTCCCAGCTCCAGCCGCCAACTTCTTTTCTCTCTGTACGACACTCTGACTGATGGCTGATCTGGAGTGCCGGGCAGGAGCAGGAATGCTTTCTTTCACCTGCACTTCTCTTAGCCTCTGCTTTTCTCTCTGTGCAGAGCTCTGGGTGATCACAAGGCTGGAGTGCTGGGCAGAGGAAGGGGCACCTTTTTACACCTGTGCATTTTTCCTGTCTGCCGCCTCTTTCTCTGTGCTGCACTCTAGGCAATCACATAGACCTGCACACTTTTCCCAGCCACTGCCTCTCTCTCCACATGGCTCTCTGAGTGATCAGAGGGCTGGAGTACCAAGCAGGATGGAGAGGGACACTCTTTTTCTTCTGCATGATCCCAGTGTTCTCCCTGGGCCCTCACCAACTGCTCTCCTGGGGTCCTAGTTTGATGGAGACATCCCCACAACAGCTCAGTCTCCTCTATGTGTGGGGCTTTCCCTCAGGCTGTGAGGGAACTTGGAGGGCAATGGTGTTCCCACAGAGGGCCGCCCCCTCCCCCTTTCCTCTCAGAGCCGTGTGCTGTCCAAAGTTGCTGGCTGCCATTGGGAAGAGAAAAGTACCGCTTACCAGCTTCCACTTACTCCAGAGGATTGGGCCCCACCACCTTCAGACATATGGCTGCATGGGTCTCTCAGACATCTTTTGTGTTGTGTGACTGTCCCCTGTTGGTGTATGAATGTGCTTTTGGTTGTACTTTAGAGGGGAGATTTCAAGGGGAGAGCTCACTCCATTATGATGCAGACATCACTCAAGAACTCATCTTTTTAATATTCTGGTGTGGAGAGATAAGATCTATGTATAAAACACTTCTTCCGTATATTGTTTTTAAAGTAATACAGCGATTTGCTCAAGAAAAAGCATTTGTGTGATTATTTGAGTTGAGAGCTGTACTAAATGCTTTTTCATAGAACTCCATTTTTACTTAAAAGAACGACTGACAAACTATGGTTTTTCAGACTTGAGCATTTAGCAGACATGTTCTCAAAAAAGAGCTAAGTTAACCTTTCACTTTAAGAAAAACAACTGGCAGAATTTGTTTTCATTGATAAAATTTGAATTTTCAAGTGAAAAATTTGTATCTAACACCTTGAGCTTGACAGCTTCCTAATATTTAACCATATTAACTAATATTTTATGGTGAGATTGTGTTGATATTAACAAATGTGTCTTTTATCCTGTAGAATTAAATGTGTCTACATTTGGAAGATCTGCATAACTCAGTGAATTTTCCAAATGACATGTTGTCATAAGCCATACATTTGTAAAAAGGATCCAGTAAACATTCAGGTTAACTTTTCTGACTTCAGAGCCCAATCTTCTGTTTTTTCACATAGTACTGAAAAATATGACAGCTTGCTTTCTAAGTTGTGCTGGCTTTGTTCCCATCCTTGGTTTTAATTGGACCCTCCCTTTCTTTCATCTCTGATGTCCTAGTTCTGCTCAATTTTGATTCTCCTCCCAACAGTTTCCCCTCCATGTGGAGCCCTGTCTGGAAGGAAGCCCTGGCTGGTCAGTATTGAGAGTTCAGATGGGCCAGATGACTAAAGTTCCTTCGGATTTCACTATAGATCACCTCTGTCGGATTAGGCACACTCCCTCCCAGTTTCACCTGCTGTTCTTAAATTAGCCCTTTGCATTTTCCAGTGAATACTTTGGGTATTTTCTATTCTCAGGCCCATCAGAGCCCACTTTGCTTTCCCTTGCTTCCTCCCTCACAGACATTAACACCATGCAGGTCTTGTGGCAGTGGGGATTTGTTTCCAACAACGTGAGTTTTGAGGCTTTGGAGAATACCTTGTCACCTAGTTTTGTTGTAAATGTTGTCCTGAGTTAGGAGTTTTGCTAGCTAGTTGCTCTGTTTTTATATGGAGATTTTAGGAGATTCACTACTGTGCTGCCACCATCTTCCTAGAAGTCAGTGTTTTTTGGGTTTTGTCTATTTGTTTGTTTTAATTCTTGTTGTTGCTGTTTTAGAAGAAATCCTTCAAAATTACATAGTTTCCCCCCTCACCTCCTGCCAATATTGTCAACAGAAGAAAGCAAAGGTGCTCTGGGAAGAAGCAGAATCCTGAAATCTGAGTTTCCTAGGGTGCTGAAGAACATCACTTCAATAGGAGTCCACTGCCTCTTTTTGTTCATAAGAAACCTGATACCCAGTGAGAAAAGTAATTTTCTCTAAACACGGTGAGAACATGTGCAAGGGATAGGTGTACAAGTAGACAAATAGGTTTTTGCAAGGAGGAGGGAAAAAATGGAGCAGCAAAAGAATCTCATCTGTTGTCTTCATTTGTTGAGGTCATGAAAGGTCTCAGTTCCGTGGGAGTTCAGTAGTTTCACTTAACCCAGAGTTGACCAGGCTCCTGGGGGAACTGCTTCATAGCAACCAAACTTTCAGGAGACCTCACAGATCATAGAAACCATATGCCACTCAGCTGCTCCTTGGCCCAGACTCAGCATGAGCCAGTATTTAAAGAAACAGCATTCTTGCAACCAAAAATAATTGAAAACAAATTAGATGTTTTATTGTGGTCTCTAGAGAAAACACCAAATCTGACTGCAATATTAATGTACAGAAAGTTATTTTAAAGTGCTGTACTATTCTCTGTCTCTTTCACTCAGTACGTATAAAATGCCCTCAGTTCTTTTTCCTTGCCTTCCTCTAGCCCCTCAAAACCTCCCAAATACATGCTAGTTATGTTCTTGTCTCCCTCAGTCTGTCCTTATTTTCTGGATGTACTCAATTTTTTTTTACTTTTGCAAGTAATTTTCTCCTCTTTCCTTACTCATTATCCTGATTTATATAAAATTGGACTTGCAGATGACATAGAAAAATAAGAATTACCCTAAAACAGTGATTCCCTCCTCAGACTGCATATTAGCATCACAAATGCAGATTTTTGAAAACCACGCCTCAGACCAGTTTTATGAGAATCTCTGACAATGGGACTCAAGCATCAAAATTTTTAAAGCTACCTGGATGATTCCAGTGTGAAGTCAAGTTAGAATGTGGCAGATATGTTGGGGGGAAGGAGGAGGTGGAGAAAAGTTTAAATATTTAAACTTTAGTATTGTTGTCCTTTCACAAATAAATCAAAATGATCATTTTTTTTCTTTCTGCTTTTTCACCCCAAATCCCCCCAGTACATAGTTGTATATTTTGTATTGTGGGTCCTTCTAGTTGTGGCATGTTGGATGCCACCTCAGCGTGGCCTGATGAGTGGTGCCATATCCGTGCCCAGGATCCAAACCAGCGAAACCCTGGGCTGCCGCAGTGGAGCACGTGAACTCAACCACTCGAGCATGGGGCCGACCCCCAAAGTGATCATTTTTAATTTTAAAATGAAAAAATAAAAATACTGTTTTTGGTTAATTGACATTCATTTTCTGAGGAATTAATTTATAATTTATTAATTTTATAAGGAATTAATCTTTTGTATGCAAGATTTACATAGAAAGAAACCAAGCTCATAGATACAGAGAACAGATTGGTATTTACCAGAGGTGGGAGGTGGAGGGTGGGCAAAATGAGCGAAGGGAGTCAAAAGGTACAAGTTCCAGTTATAAAATAAGTAAGCCTTAGAGATGTAATATACAGCATGGCGACTATCGTTAATAACAGTATATTGCATATGTGAAAGTTACTAAGAGAGTACGTCTTAAAAGTTCTCATCACAAGAAAAAATTTTCTGTAACCATGTGTGGCAATGTATATTAACTAGATTTGCTGTGATGATCCTTTCACAATATATACAATGGTTTATATACTAATATTGAACAATTAGAAATTGAAAGCAAAAATATCATTTTAGAACAATATTCACGAATACAAAATATTTAGGGACAAATTTGTACAAGCAAACATGTACAAGACATATATCCTGAAAACTACCAAACATTTATGAAAAAAATTAAATAAGAACTTCATAAATGGGGAAATACAGCATGTTCAGGAGGATTGGAAAACTCAGTATCAATAAGATATTAATTCTCCTAAAATTGACCTATAGTTTTAGGATAATTCCCATGAAAATATCCCAGGAAGATTTTTGTTTGCAGAAGTTGACAATCTGATTATGAACTATACATGGAAATAAAAATTATCTAGACTAGTCAAAATAATTTGAAATGGAAAAACAAAGTTGAAATATACTACCTGATTTTATGACTTAATATAAAACCACAAATAATCAAGATAGTGTGGTATCAATATAAAGACAGACATATAGACCAAAGGAATAGAACAGAGAGTACAGATATAGATCTACGCATATGTCATCATTTGGTTTTTGACAAATGAACCAACTTAATTCAATGAGAAAAGGACAGTCATTTCAACAAATGATGCTAGAAAAATTACATAGCCGTTAAAAAAAAAACCCTCAGTTCTTACCTCACATCACTCAAAAGGTTAATGTAAAATGGATAATAGACCTAAATGTAAGAGCTAAAAGTATAAAACTTATAAATAAGAACACATGGGAGAAAAATCTTTATGGTCTTGAGTTAGTCAAACTTACTAGGACACGAATAGCTCTAACGATTAAAAAAATTGGATGTTGGACTTCAACAAAATTAAAACTTTTGCTCTTCAAAAGCTATCCTTAAGAGAACAAAAAGGCAAGCCATAGGAGTTGGGAATATATTTGCAAGTCAAATATTTGATTAAGGAATTTGTTTTAAGAATATATAAAGAACTCATACAACATAATAAGACAGTGAACTCAATGAAAAACGGGCAAAAGATTTGAAATAGACGTTTCATCAAAGACAGACAAATAGCAAATAACACATGGAAAGATGTTCAACATCTTTAGTCATTAGGGAAATGCAAATTTAAACTACAATAAGATACTGCTACACATCCCCTACAAAGTATAAAATTAAGCCTGAAAATACCAAGTTTGGCTAGTAGAAATACAAAATGTTACAGCCATTTTGAAAAGAGTTCAGTGGGTTCTTATAAACTTAAGTGTATACTAACCATAAGACCCCATGAGTAATGTGCTAAGTATTTACCCAACAAAAAAGAAAACACGTGTACACTCAAGACTTGCAGTTAAATGCTCATATTGACTTTATTCATAATAGCCCCAATCTATTGTTCATCAACAGGTGAATACACAAATTTTGGTACATCTATAGCATGGAATACACTCAGCAGTAAAAAGATTGGACTACTAATGCATGTAGCAACATGAATAAACATCAAAAGTATTATGCTAATTGAATAATGCCTGGACACAAATGCTTAACACTGTATAGTTCAATTTATATGAAATTCTAGAAAAGGAAAAACTACAGTGACAAAAAGCAGATCAGTAGTTGCCATGGGTGGGAGGTGGGAATAGGTGATTGACTACGGGGACACCCAGGAATTTTCTGTCATGATTATGTAGTGTTTCCAGGATTATCACTTACCAAAATTCACCAAATATCTTACCGATGTCTGCACACCTGCAAAATGACATGCACAAGCTTATTCATTGCAAAAAATATAAATTGAAACTGCATTTAATAGAATTATGCTATATCTATATTATATATGTGTGTTTGTATAAGTGTATTTTAAAATCCCTAGGTACCTTTAAAGGAAAGTTGAATTCTTATCCAATGCTTATGAAGAAAAGTACCTGTGATATGGTATTTAAAGTCAATCTCCTGTATAAAATTATATGAGCTGGGGAGAATTTCTAGATCACGTAGCACAGTGGGATTCCTGAATCTGGTTAGACTCTTTCGAATGGACCAGTGATTATAGCCACGCTGACCTCATTATTTGGCCTTCATATATCTCATCAGCATTCTAAGGCAGAGAATGACAGAGTGGCGGGAATAAGAAGGAACAAAAGATAGTGCATATTGCCATCATTACTATCAAGCTAGTCTGTCCTAAATGGCTATAAAAATGGAAAGAAAGTCCCTTTTCAAGGGATCATTGTCATTTATTATCCTGGACACTAGAGGAAAGCAAAGCCTCCCAAGATAGAAGAAAGAAATTTCTGAATCTCTAGGGTGCTGACGCTCACTCTGTAATTGTGGCAGGTGCACTTTGGTATGGCTGTTCACACACTCATCATGGAGACCTTGGGGATATCGCTCTTCAATTAATTAAATGCCCCACACAATTCACAGCTATGATGGGAAGCAGTGATGCTTCAAACTCTAATATTCCAGTGATGGGAAAAAGCTCCATTTTCCCAAAGTACTAGGCAGAGTCATATATAATGGAGACTGCTAACCTTTGAACATGTATCTGTCATAGTGGCAAATAGTGAAATAGAACTACATACACATGTCTTCAAACAGAGTGCATAATGGTGACAGTGTTGACAGCCATTTTAACTATACTAAAATCTTTTTATCAGATTCACTGCTACCTACGTTGAAAATAGGAATGATAAATTCAGAGGTTACTAAAAGAGGACAGATAGATATATAATACAATTAATTTCATTCAGTCTTTTTTCTTCCACAACTCTGTAATAACTGATGATTCAGTAAATAGTTGTTTTTTAATTTTGTTTTTTATTTAGAACAACCCCATGTTTACTTGCTACCACTACAGTTTAAATTTGCAAGAGCTGAAACATAACAGGACAAGTGCATGATTTGGAGTAAGAAGATGAAGTATTAAATTTCACATTGGTCACCTGGGATGGATGTGGCCTTGAGCAGATAGCTTAATCTCTCTGAACCTCAGTTTTCTCATCCTAAAAATGTGAAGTCCTCTCTCACAGGGTTTTGAGAAACTTAATTTAGAAGACGTAGGTGAAACATGTCTGCTGTGTTTCTCAAACTCCAACATATGTAGGAATCCCCTGGGGATATTGCTGAAATGCAAATTCTGATTCAGAAGGTCTGCAGTGGGTTCTGAAGCTTCAGGTGATGTCAGTGCTACTCTTCCGTTATCGCTGGTGTCAGCCGGGAGCTGGTTAGAAATGTAAAATCTCATGGCCTGCTCAATATCTGCATTGTAATAGAGTCTTCAGGTCATTTTTATGAACATTAATGTTTGAGCGACCTTGATCCAGCATCAGACCTGGCACATTTCAGATTCTTGATCTAAATATATTATAAATTTTGATCATCACAGAAGTGTGCAGAATGTAGATGGATATGACACATTTTTCCTACTCAAAATTTGATTTTGAATTATATTGCCCAGATGGTGAGCTAAAGAGTGACCTCACCCCAGGTCAGGTTTCTGCTCTCTGACAGCCGATCAATTAGCAGCTGTTTCAGTATGCATCTGCATTGTCAAAAGCCCTTGTCATCATTTTCGTCACCAAATCTCATCTTTTAAGTATTTTATATAGAAACTACATTTACTAACTGAAATTTAAGTTATTCCCTGTATTTATTTATCAGAGACTATGCTTAGGAGCTTCTGTCAACATGGTACAAAACCAGTTAACACACCAAATTAATGTAGTTCAAGCCAAAGTAAAGATGATTAGTGGTTTGCATTAGTCTATACAGCTTTATTGTAGGTGCATTAATAAAATCTATACTTAAGTTAGGAAACTAGTTTAGAAGCCTCATTAATGGTGGCAGCCAGTTTTAAGGGGTGGGAATCCAGCTTGTATGTCAGTTAGGAAAATGTGAAAATATATTTTGAGATTTCAGCTAATATGCCATAAACCCTGATAAATCTATTGATTTTTAAATAAATTACTGCTTTAAATAGTAAATCAACTCTTCTATCCACTATTGTCTGAGTTATTTTTACTCTATGAAACCTATAAAGTATTGATTTCTAATTCATACTTTACAGTGCATAGTGAAAATATGAGGATCAAATGGGAACTGCGGTATTTCCCTCTGGAAGGAGAATTTTTTTCATTCTTGAAGGTCTTCTTTTCATTTACAACACCCTGAAGCTTTGGTATTTCTCATAGAGCAGGTTTGCTAGTGACAAATTCTCTCAGCTTTTATTTATCTAGGAGTGTCTTTATTTCTCCTCCATTTTGGAAGCACAGGTTTGCTGGATATAAAACTCTTGCTTGACAGTCTTTCTTTTCGCATTTAGAGTATTTCATCTCATTACCTTCTAGCAATAACAAATGATGAGAAATCAGCTGTATATCTTATTGAGGATCCTTTGTACATGAGGCTTCTCTCTTGCTACTTTCAGTGTTCTTTGTCTTTGGTTTAAGAGTTTGACTGTGACAGGTCTAGGTGTGAATCCTTTTGCATTTACCTTGCTTGGAATTTCCTGAGCTTCTTGGATGTATAGATCCATGCTTTCCATCAAACTGAAATATTTCTAGCGACTATTTCTTTTAATATTCTTTTTGTTCATTTCTCTTTCTACTCTCTTTCTGGGGCTACCATTATGCATATACTGGTATGTTTGATGGTGTTCTACAGGTCTCTGAGCTCTGTTTATTTTTCTTCATTCCTTTTCCTTTCTGTTCCTCAGACTAGATAACCTCAGTTGACTATCTTCAGACATGCTGATTCTTTCTTCTGCCTGCTCAAATCTAATGCTGATCCCCTCTGCTGACTTTCTTTTCATTTAAGTTATTGTATCTTTCAACTCCAGAGTATCTATGGTTCTTTTCTATATTTTCTGTCTTTATATTAATAGTCTCTATTTGATGAGACATTGTTCTCACTTTCCTTTGGTTTCTTTAGACATGATTTCCTTAATTTATTAGAACACATTTAAAATAGCTGATTTAGAGTCTTTGTCTAGGGAGTACCATGTCTGGGCTTCCTTAGAGTCTGTTTTCTTCCTGTATATGGGACATACTTTCTTAATTTTTTGCATGTCTCATAATTTTTTGTTGAAAACCAGACATTTTTAACAATATAATAATGTGAGAACTCTGGATATTGGATTCTCTCCCTCCCCAGGATTTGTTGTTTGTTGGCTTTGTGACTTTTCTGGAGTAATTTTATAAACTCTATGTTCTTTGCCATATTTGGCCAGTGAAGTCTCTGCTTGGTTTGCTTAGTTGTTACCTGACGACTAGACAAAGATTTTCTTAAATGCCTAGAGCCAATAAGTCTCCTATTCTTTGCCAACGTGCTCTGTGTGCATGTTGTGGAAAACCTTTGACAGTTAGCCAGGCTGTTTACAACTCTGCCTTGGCCTTCAGTTTCTGCTTGTGCAGAGCCTCAAGTTGAGCCAGAGGTGAGAGACTAGAGCCTTCTCAGTTCTTTCCTGAGCATGTGTATTACCCTGGCTGCGCACACAACCCGAAGCATGCGTGTAATATTCTAGATTCCCAAGAATATATTGGAGCTTTTCAAACCCTTCTGTGGAAATCTTGTTCCTCAGATTTTTCCTTTAAGCTTTTTGGTTAGCCTATTGTTTGTCCCACCTGTTATCTTCTGCTTTAGGCAGCTATGATGTTAAATAAACGAGCCCCTCATTACTTTTGACCAATGCCCCTGAGAAAAATGCTGTTCACAATGGTCGAATTCCTAGTCAGATCAAGTAAAGACATGATCATGAGAGGGGTCATCGAGAGAACCACCAAACAGGTCAAACAATGACAATACTCTGGGAATGGAGCTTTGAAGGAGTTTCAGTCCTGTTTTGCTCATTCCACAGGCTGCCATACTGCTGGTTCCCACTGTACTTGTGGGCTGTTGGTTTTCAAGGCTACTGCAAAGCTAGGGAGAGGAGATGGGAACAGGGAAAGTTAAAACACCCAGAGCTTGCTATTCTGACTGAGATTCAACCGTTTTTCTTGAATAAATGTTCTCCAAATTGCAACAAGCCTTTAATTAATTTCGAGACTTCTGAAAATGTTGATTCAGAACATTTTTTTCTGTTGCTTTTATGGAGGAGAGGATTTTTAGAGGCTTTTATTATACCATTCTGTTTGAGGTCAGTTAAAATGCCCTAAAGCTTTTGTATAGTGAACAAAAGTCATACGGAAACTCATTGTTTTGCTACATTAGAAAGACAGACCATATACCCACTAGAGATTGTATAGGGTTCCACTTAGAGATGCCACTAAAATGTCTTGATTATTTGCGGCTATTGTCAGATGAGAGGTCGCAGTGACCTCTTCCTAAGGAAGATTCTCGTGCTTCAGTATCAAATTTGCAAGAAATGTTGTGATTAAGAGCCCAGTATTTGGAACTAGCCTTCAAGTCCTGAGTTTGCTCCTTAATAGCTTTGTGACTGTGGTCAAGTTATGTAACATTTACAATACAGTGATAATAACTACCTATTCTTAGATTTGTTTTAAAACCCAACTAAACTAACAAAAGTAAAATGCTTGGTATGGTTCATGGCACAGAGTAAATGCTCAATAAATTTCAGCTTCTATTACTATTATCATCACTAAAAATATAGTTCAGCACTGCTAATAATATGCTGAATGTTCACCTGAATGTGGTTCTTTAAAAGTAACTTTCAAAATGGGAAATAAATCAAAACTGTTTTACTGTTTCACTCATACTACTCTGTTTTCTGTGCATTTCCAGGCACAGTGGTGGTCCAGCAGTTGATGTCAATGATGATTAGCAAACATGATCGCCTCTTCCCCAAAGATGCAGAACTGCAAACCAAGCCCCAAGACGGAGTGAGCAACAACAACAATGAAATTCAGAAGAAAGCCACCATGGGTCAGCTACAAAACAAGGAGAACAATAATACCAAGGACAGTCCTGGTAGGCGGTGCTCTTGGGACAAGTCCGAGTCTCCCCAGAGAAGCAGCATGGATAATGGATCCCCTACAGCTCTACCAGGCAGCAAAACCAACAGCCCAAGAAACAGTGTTCACAAACTGGATGTCTCTAGGAGCCCTCCTCTCATGGTCAAGAAGAATCCCGCCTTCAATAAGGGCAGTGGAATAGTCACCAATGGGTCCTTCAGCAGCAGCAATGCAGAGGGTCTTGAGAAAACCCAAACCACTCCCAATGGGAGCTTACAGGCCAGAAGGACCTCTTCACTGAAGAGTTCTGGTACCAAAATGGGCACCCACAGCGTGCAGAATGGAACGGTGCGAATGGGCATTTTGAGCACCGACACACTTGGGAACCCCATGAACGGTCGCAGCATGAGCTGGCTGCCCAATGGCTATGTGACCCTGAGGGACAACAAGCAGAAAGAGCAAGCAGGAGAGTCAGGCCAGCACAACAGGCTCTCCACCTATGATAATGTCCATCAACAGTTCTCCATGATGAACTTTGATGACAAACAGAGTGTCGACAGCGCCACCTGGTCCACTTCCTCCTGTGAAATCTCTCTCCCTGAGAACTCCAACTCCTGTCGCTCCTCCACCACCACCTGCCCAGAACAAGACTTTTATGGTGGGAATTTTGAGGACCCTGTTTTGGATGGGCCCCCACAAGATGACCTTTCCCACCCTGGGGACTATGAAAACAAAAGTGACCGGAGAAGTGTGGGCGGTCGAAGTAGTCGTGCCACCAGCAGCAGCGACAACAGTGAGACATTTGTGGGCAACAACAGCAGCAACCACAGTGCACTGCACAGTTTAGTTTCCAGCCTGAAACAGGAAATGACCAAACAGAAGATAGAGTATGAGTCCAGGATAAAGAGGTGAGGAAAATCTGGACCTTGTAACTGCCAGAGAGGGTGCAACAGGCCCCTACTGTGGGGCAGGCTCACACAGAGGGTTTAATATACTGCTCCAGAGTCAGAGACCCAAGTTCAAGTCTTAGCTTCACCATTTGTAAGCTGTGGGACTTTGGGAGAGTTCACTTCATCTCTGTGAGCCTCGGTTTCTTAATGTGAAAAACTTAAATACTAGTAGCATTTATCTGAGAAGCATGTAAGAAATTGAACATGTTCATTGAACATTGTGCCTGGCACAGAATAAGTGCTCAATAATGCTCTCTCATTATGATTAAATATATAGGTTTGTTTTAGAGGGCTGTGAGGGAAGGGGAGAATAAGGAGCCCGTTTTCATTGACAAGAGGAAGATGAAATGAGGGTAAAGAAAAGTTGTAGATATAAACACACCTTTATTTTTCATTCTTTCAATCGTTGAATGCTGAGAGAGTGTCTGCTTCTGCCAGGCTCAGTTCCTGACGATTCAGCAGTGAATAAAAGAGACGAAAACTCAGCCCCTGTGGAACGTGCTTCTAGTCTACTGGAGGAGACAGACGAATAAGAAAATAGATCCTATGCTCAGTAGAAGACTAAAGCAGGGAGGCGGGGAGAGAAGGGTTAGTGAGGTGTAATTTTAAATCTAGGGCCTTCTAGGAGGTTGAAGAGGAAACTGTGCAGAAACCTGGGAGAAGAGCAAGCGGGAATGCCAGGATGTGGGACGGGCACGGAGCTCAGAGAGGGCAACTGGGCCTGGTGACATAGGGCCTCAGGGATCATTTTAAGCCTTTTGCTTTTACTCTGAGTTTGGACTCCGTGGAGGTTTTTGAGAAAAGCGATTACGTGAAGTGTATTCATATGGACAAGGGAAATTGTAGCCCAAATGGGGAGCCAAAAATATGATTTATTTTAGCAGCTATGCTAAAACCTAATTTTTCTCTGTTTACATCTTCCCATAAGATGACCAAGGAAGAAGGTTGCTTAGCAACTTCTCCAGGGGAGCAACCAGGCAAGATAAGGGGGTGTCCTGTGTTCACAGGGCCCCTAGCTGTCAAACACTCCATGAACTCGAGAGGCGGGAGTACAGAGAATGGAGCCCAGGACTCACAAATATAGCCTTGTGCTGGAAACTTGAAAGTCACCACACCCCACGTTTTCACCACGGTCATGGAAATTACAAAGCTGCTTGTTTTTCTGTCCTCCTTGCAGTGCAGTGCAGGGGAGAGAACATTAGGCTCAAGTCAGGAAAAGGCCTGAGTGTCAGTTCAGCATAAAGCAGCCCCTTTAGTGGTCTGAGTTCCAGTTTCAGGCTGTGTGTCTTGGTGGACCTTTTCCTGCACAGGTGTTCTAGAATCCTCATAGCTCATGAATAACTATCTTTGTCTTGCTTCAGCTGCTTTCATGGCTCCAAACCCCAAATTCTTTCTTTGTTTACATATATAGTGGACTTTAATTTATTTTAATATATTTTCCATCCATTTGTCAATTATCAGACTGGAAGATACATATTTTCAAGAGCCATGGTAAATATAAACAAAAATACGTTAGATTGAAACATTACTTTTTTAGAAAGTAGCTTTTGTAAACTTCACTGAATGGAAACTTGCTTTGAAGTTTTCTATGTAATGGCAAGTGACAGAAGGTTTAAATAAGAAGAAAAATGGTGTTATCATCTTATAAGGTTGTGCTTCCTTCTGAATGCGGTTTTTGGAACCACTGGCTACCAGAACTCTGAACTGCTGCCAATGCCTGATGGTAAATTAGGACTTAGCGCTGTGAAGCAAGAGATAGCACTTTAAACTCGTGTTAGGTTGGGAAAGAAGTTATCATTCTGAATGATACTGATGTGCAGATGTACACATTCATTTATGAGAACATTGATGATGCAGTTATGTTCTGAGTCTATGGTGCATTTGGGAGACTTTGATAAAATCATAGATCTTTCCGACAGAATGTCATCTCAATGAGTCTTTTCACTGTAGCATTCCTACCCACCTGAGAGGCAAAGGGAGAGGTCCACAACAAAGCAGGGCAGAGGAGCTGCCACGTGCCCAAGCCACAGAAATGTAAGAGGTGACTGTTCTAGTTAGTTTTAGATCATTCCTATTTACAGTTACACATTTCTCTTTCAATTCCTTCTTAACTCCATCCCACAACTATTGAGATTGGATACATACACACATACATACCTGGATAACTAGATAGACAGATAGATGATAGATAAATACATAGATATTTTACTTTATCAGTCATTGATGTATATGTCTTTTAGTTTTTTAACGTGTGAGTTTGGTGTCCTCCTACCCTCCAAATTATTTTCTGAACTTATTGTATTGTGGTCAGAGAAATTTATTTGCATGATATCAATTATTTGGTCTGATAAAAACTAATTATTCTCTTATTAGTGGTTTGGAGTTCTATATATGACAAATACATCAAGTCTGTTAATCAAGCTATTCGAGTCTTTTACATTACTTCTAATTTTTTTCACATACATCTATAGTTTCTGAGAATGATATCTTAAAATCTCCTAATTTTTGTGGATTTATCAATTTCTCCTTATAATTGCTATACTTTATATTTAATAATTTGAGGCTACTACTAGGTGACTAAAAGTTCAGAATTTTTTATATCTCCCTGATGAACTAGTCCTTGTATCGTTAAGTAAAGATCATCTTTAATCGTAATGCTTTTTGCCAAAAGTTTATTTTTTCTGATATTAATACTGCTATATTTTTATGGCAGATATATTTTATTTTGATTAGTAACTTCCTACCATGTCTTTTCCATTCTTTAATGTTCAAACTTTGTTTTAGTGTTTGATCTGAGGATTTACATATTTTTCAATTTGAGAATATTCATATCCATCATATTTTTGTTTATTTCATCTCCATTTTCTGAATTTTCCCTTTCTACGACCCTTATTAAAGTATGTTGGACCTTATTAATCCATTCTTTATCTCTCTTTCTTATGTTAGGTTTCTATCTGTTTCATTCTGTGAGGCATTCTGGGTAATTCTTCTCAGAACTGTTTTCCAGTTTACTAATTTTCTCTTCTGCTGATTCAATTCTGTCACTTCTCCCAGCCCACTAGTAGAGTTTTTGTAGTCCCTTTTTCATAAAGACAGTTGATGTTCCCAGCTGTCAGTTGAATCACTTTGGCTCTCTGCCTCTCTTATACTGGAGGCCTCATCCCCCAATGTGAAAAATAAAAACCCAGTCTCTAGGTCCTCCATCCAGGACCAATACTCTACGTGTGCTTCCACTTGCTGTTTTAAATTTGAGTTTCTTCCTCAGGTCTGATACCTCAATATGCTCTCTTATTTCTCGGCAATGTATTTTAAAAATATTTTTCTTATATATTTTTCCAGCATCATTCTGTGTTTGCAGTGGGAGGGCTTCCTTCTGTATTTAACTCAGTCCATTAGATTCCTGGAAGTTTCATACAAGTGCCTGATACATACAAATGTATCAAGCTATATTTTTAAAGGATTGTTTTCCATCATATTTAAGCTTGAATTCCTTTCAACATTTTCAGTTCTAAAATAAATAGCTTTAGAAAGCAAAGAGAATATGTTGTAGAATAATTCTGGGTGGCAACCAGCACACTCTCAGGTTGTTAAATAAATATATGATCGTGTGATCAAAATAGCCATCTAAACTGATTACAGACTGTAAAGTATTTTATATTTTTTCAATTCTAGTTGCTTACAAAGGGAGAGCAGATTCATTTTTAAGTATTCTTATCTGAATGAAATATCAACATATGAGGCTTCCTTATTCCGAAACAGAAAAATGTGAGATTTTAATTTGAAAATTGTTATTAAAATAATTAGATTTCTGAGAGCTACACACACATTACCTTTCAAATTTCAGGTGCATGGTAAATTTAAACATGCCCTGGGACCTGGCTCAGAGTGGGAGAAATTAAAAAGTCATCTATTATTACCAACATACATCTTAGAATAAACAAATGCTTAATACTCCTCTTTGAGCAACAACAATAAATTATGTTTTGGAACTTAGTGATTATGGAGAAAACACTGTTTTCAAGGAAGTTATCTAAAATTATACAATTGTCCAAAAGAATACAGCTCTCAGTCTATAGAGTGAGAAATCTAGAGATCTCAAGATATAGTAACAACTTGGCAGGCAGTAAGAATTGCAGCTAACTAGCTAGTTAGGTGGATCTCATGGTCAGAAAACCTCGGGTGGATTACTTATTCAACACACGTCATCTCTACTTCTCCCGTCAATGTACCGTGCTACTTTTGCTACTGCTTTTATAAGATAGGACTCTATATATGTCCCAGAGAAGTCCTTTCTTAGCAGTGGACTTAATCTATCTAACAGTGGCATTTTCACTATTACTTTTCCTTTAATAGAAAGCAAATATGATTGCTCTCTTTTTCTTCCAACTTTATCGAACTTTCCCCCTTTCTTTTAGTAAAACCAAATTTACATTCAGTGATCCAGGAAGCCTTGTGGTTTGGGCTGCCTCCTGCTTCGGCCATTCTATACTATGTGACACTGGTCTCTGGCTTCTCTGTGCTGACATTCATTCAATCACTAGGAAATGACAACTAAGTACTTCTGAGTGAGGTCATGAGGTCTTATTAAAATGGTAGTAAACCATCTTAGTGAATTAAAAAAAAAAAAACAGCAACAGGGGCCAGCCCAGTGGCACGGTGGTTAAATTCACACATTCTGCTTCAGCAGCCTGGGGTTCATCAGTTCAGATCTTGGGTGCAGACCTATGCACCACTTGTCAAACTATGCTGTGGCAGGCGCCCCACATATAAAGTAGAAGAAGATGGGCACAGCTGTCAGCTCAGGGCCAGTCTTCCTCAGCAAAAAGAGGAGGACTGGCAGCAGATGTTAGGTCAGGGCTAATCTTCCTCAAAAACAAAAAAATAAACCAGCAACAAAATAACACCTTTTAAGTCATTGGACTTTCCTTCACGGATTTGAAAGGGTTCATTTTAATTTCCGAAGCATGGCAGAGACAGAGTTCAGAAAATATTTGTATCCCTCTTGCATGTCAAATGAATAAAATCACCTGTCTCTTATTCTTTCCCCCACCCTTTGTAGCTTAGAACAGCGAAACTTGACCTTGGAAACAGAAATGATGAGCCTCCACGATGAACTGGATCAAGAAAGGAAAAAGTTCACAATGATAGAAATCAAAATGCGAAATGCCGAGCGAGCAAAAGAAGATGCCGAGAAAAGAAATGACATGCTCCAGAAAGAAATGGAGCAGTTTTTTTCCACGTTTGGAGAGCTGACAGTGGAACCCAGGAGAAGCGAGAGAGGAAACACGATATGGATCCAGTGAGCCCGCTTTCTCCCGCTGTCTCCAATGGATCTGGGAAGGACTGGGGGGGTTCCAGTGGGAATATTCTGTGGGATCAGGTGGCTGGTCACCTGGCTGTACAGTGCTCTAACTGGTGAAGGAATCTCATTTACAGACATTAACCATCTATATCCGCAATGTGTACCAAAGTTATATCATGCCCCATAATGCTACTGTCAAGTGTTACAACTGGATATGTGTATATAGAGTAGTTTTTAAAAAGTAAACTAAAAATGAGAAGCATATCTCAAGAATTATTTTATTGCAAGTCTTGTATTTAAAATGTTAAATCAATATGTTGTTGCAATTTAGCTTGCTTTCAAGCTTCACCCCTTGCACTTAACATAAGCTATTTTTGGCATTGTGTTATCATCAGCTTATTTTATAGATCAATATTTTTATTTCCCTTTTTGCTGAGGAAATGAAGATAAGCAGATATATGAATATAAATATATATATAAGATGAGTTATTAAAATCAAAAGAATACTTTGTGGCCGTGCTGTTTGTGCCAATAGACCTTGCCATGACCAAAAAGAGAAATGTAAATAATTTTATAAAATACATTGAATCACCAGGAACCTTTGAACTGCTCTTTAAATTCTTCCCTTGACACTGCTCGTTTTCTTTGTGAGGTGACTGGACATAGGAAGTCTTGGACTGTGTGAAAAAAAAGTCCCCTTCTCAAGCCCCCTTGGCTGCCTTGCCTGTTCCACAGATGTGTGTCTGCTATGCAAGAAGCATGTTAGAGGGGAGAAAATGATAAAGAAAAGCATTTAACCAGTCATGCCTTGAATTACTCTGACCTTCTGGCCCGTCTCTGTAACTGCTGGCTGGTTATGGGAGAAAGTCTCCCTGCCATTTGCAAGTTGGGAAACAATGCTTGCTAACCCATGCCCACACGAGCACCTGTCATTCCCTCAAACCTCTGTCCCCCCTCCCCCGACAATTGCACTCTGGAACGCCAGCCATGAAACAGCATTACTGTGTCCCTCTCAGTTAAACTGCTAGAGTGTGTGCCATAGAGTGACAGTTTTCTCTCACTCAGGCTGCCTGTTCCCTTGTCCTCTGGGATGCTGTCTGCACGACAGCAGGCGAGGGCAGTTTGCAACAAGAGCGAGGGGATGGACGGGCAGGGGACCAGAAGAAGGAGACAAGTTTGGAAGAAACACACTCAACTATCTTGCTTCTAATTTCTACAGTATTTTTCTTCCCTGTTGAAAACATTCGTTCACAATAAATTCTAAAACGTGAATGCTTAAAGGTTCGATTTTGACAAATTTGTGAACACCAGTCATGCAAACTTGCTAGAGGTGCCCAGGGCTCTCTGGAGCTACAGTCTGGGGAGAACAGTTCTTCACACTTCAGTAAGGCAATGATTTTGACAAGCCAGAAAATAAATCTTTCTCACACTAGAACAAAAAGTCACAAAAGGCATAATTGGAAATAAAGACTACTTGAGTTTACAGGCTTTGTGTTGTTTGAGGTTTCCATGTTTGTGTGCATTTATTGATTTTCGATGGGGAGAGTGATCCTTAAAGTCTTCATCCTTGTCACCATCCTGCTGTTGTTTATATCTTTCACTGAGCAAGCGTACGTGCTCCTTTGGTGTCAACCACTATCTACATAGCAACACTTTCTTTGTCTTTAGTTCCTTTTTCTCTCTTTCCTGTTTTTTTTTTTTTTTTTTTTTTTTTTTTTTGCTGAAGAAGATTAGCCCCGAGCTAATGTCTGTGCCAATCTTCCTCTATTTTGTATGTGGGTTGCCACCACAGCATGGCTGACAAGTGGTGTAGGTCTGTGCCTGGGATCCAAACCCATGAATCCAGACTGCCAAAGTGGAGGACAGAGAACTTAATCACTAGACCACAGGGCCAACCTCCTCTGTCCAATTCTTTAAGCAGATACTTCGACCTGGATATCCTACAGGAAATTCAAACTCAAAATGTGCAAAACTGATCTCAGTAGCTCTTTCTGTATACCTTTTCATCTTTTCCCAGCCACTATCTTAGTTAAGGAAAACCTTGGACTCATCCATGGAGCTGTATGATGCAATAGTAAAAAACAAAGGCTATGCAGTCAAACTGCCTAATTCAATTTTCTACAGTTTGCTAGCTGTTACTGAACCTTCTGCACATCAGTTTTTATTGTAGTGTGGGAATAATAAAAACCCTCCCCTCATAGACTTGTTATGTGGTATCGATGTGGTGGCTTGTGTCAAGGTTGCGCACAGCACCAAGTATGCAGGAAGGACTCCATAAATGTTTGTTATTTTTCTCTGCTCTGCCCTCTTCTTCACCTTTAAATTCACTCACCACTTACTGTCTATTCCACCCATCCTCGCCTTCGTAATCTGCTCTCTTTAACCAGTTTTCCTCATCTTCTGATGAAAGCATCTTACCTAGCCACTTTTGTTCCAGTACCTCTTCTCTACTTTCATCTTTGCAGGCTGCTCTTTCAAAGTCACCCATCTGACCATATCATGGCCTTGCTAAGACATTTGATGACGCTCACATACCCACAGGGTAATGCCCTTCACATAGTGCATAGGACTCTGACCCACAGGTTCATTCTCATCTTCTAGCCCTTCCCCCGACACCTGCCATGCCATTTCATGCCTCTGGAACTTTCCATCTTCTATTGTGGTGTCCATCTTGACTGCCTTTCTTCTATATGGCACACTCTAACGATCTCTTTTTGAGAGCCAAATTAATGTCAGCTCCCCTGTGAAGCTTCCTAGGATCTCAATGCAGAGTTAGTTACCTTTGGTGCTTCTAATTTGCATATATCCCTTTTAGGCTTTCCCACATTTGACTATTTGCTTCACCAAATGAGAAGCACTTTGGGAAGCAGCATGGTAGAGTGGAAATTGCAGGAAACAGAGTCAGACACACTAAGATGAGTATCTCAATATGCCTTAGGCAAGATACAGGACAATGACAAGTCACTTAACCTCTCTGAGCCTCAGTTTTTTCATCTATAAAGTGGAGATAATAACTCCTACAAAGACCAGATGTTGTAATACTTAAAGGTGGTACGTAACGTATCTATCCCAATGCGTGCCACTTAGCTCCATTTAGGTCTATTGAGAAATGGCACTTCTTTAGATCCCAGAATTGCATCCTATTGATCTTAAATCCCTCCCCCTTCACCCTTTATGCTGTAGAGTACTAGCATGGAGAGCTAGCAGTCATTTTGGCCTTTAATTTATGAGAGATGCTGTTGTTAATTTTAGTTGTCTATCTTAGTGATGAGACCTCCAGTTGATGGATACCATGAGCAGCTTGTCCATCTGGGTTTCTATTAGTTCTTCTGTTAATTCAACTAAAAGCCTAGAAAATCTCAGCTGCAAATTGACGTAAGAAGAGACTGGAAATAAGTATTTAGGTAGTATCCAGAGTTCATCTGCTACGTCCTATACACGCTTCTTTAAAACTATTTAGGTAACTATAATGATTCTTGAATTATGAGCTCAGGAGAAAGGATTTGCTTCCAACTGTTGAGTCTATAATATTGGTTTTACTGGTCAAACTATATGCCTGGGTATCCTTTAGAGAACATTTGAAATAGAATCGCCTGTGACATCAGGCCAACTAAAGTGTAGATTTTATATATAATTTTATTATGAAACAACTAAAAACTCCAAGTGGAATTTAAATAATGTCATTCCTATTTATTTTTATTTGTTCACGAGCTGAGGCCTCCTTTAGGTGAGACAAGTCACCATTGTGGTCTTTTGCTCTCCAGCCATACTTAGTTTCTTAGGTGCAGGTTAGAAGTAGACAGAAATAGGATTTAGTCAGAGGTGTTTGTTTTCCTTAGATGAGTAGAGTGGTAGAAGATTAAGGGTTTGGAGAACGGGTACAAGACAATAATTATGACGAGGAACCACAGAACTAAGCTGGTCAAGGAAGGAAGCAATGACATAAGGGGATGACAGTTAGTGAAAATCTAGCAGTCAATGGCTTGAAGATACTTTGGGAGTATCCAAGAGTGTCTGGAATGATGGTGCTAAAGCGAGTGACCTACAAAGAGAGGAAGTAATGATCAGACAGTGGATGCTTGAAATGGAAATTTTGGTGATGGTGCAGTTATTGGTAATGACACGATGTGAATCATGGGCACAGGTGTCTCCAACCCCTTCATCTTCTACCACTCTACTCATCTGAGGAAAAAAAACACCTCTGACTAAATCCCATTTCTGCTTACTCCTAACCTGCACCTAAGAAACTAAGTATGACTAGAGAGCAAAAGACCACAATGGTGACTTGTCTCACCTTTATATTTATCTTCATATAAATATGGTTCACGTGGCTCTCGTCACTGTTCAGGAAATTATCTCCACACTTTCCAAGGTCAGTTTCACACTTCTCCTCTCAAATCTCCATGAACTCTTCCCCTTCTCGTTCTCAGCTGATAACCTTGTGTATTTACTGAGAAAAAAATATCAGAAGAGTATGTCCTTATGTCCCATCATCATATCTACCAAACTACCTATGTCTGTTCTGTACACACTGCCTCAGCTCCTGCTACAGTGACCGTGCTGCCTGCTCCAACCAGGCCAGCTGCTCTTCTCATATGCTGGAGTCTATCCTCTGGCCTTTTCAAGCAAATCGCTCCTGTTTTCTGACTTCTATATGTTGGAGCAAGAGATGCCTCTATCTTTGGACTTTTATTCTTAATCTACTCTCAGTCTCTTGGTCTCATACAGTCTCATGGTTTTAAATAACACTTATAAGCTGATTACTCTCAGATTTGTGTTTCAGCCTGACTTCTTACCTTAACTCCAGCCTTATAGATACTCTCGCTAATTCACTTGGGTATTTAATAAACATCTCCAACTGACATTTCCAAACACAAATATCATTTTCTTCCCAAATATGTTCCTAACCCATTATTATTCACCATCTCAGTGAACTGCACCATCCTTTATCTCATGGTTTAGATTCTTAAAAAATCTGAAGTCATCCCTGATCACTTTCCTTCTATCACATATCAATCCATTGGAAAATTTTGTCAATTCTGCCTTCACAATGTATCCTTAATTATATCCCGAATGCACCCGCTTCGCAGTACCTCTGCTTTCCAGTCCAAGCCTCGTCATGACTTTCTGGACTACTGTTATACCCTACAATGGACTCTATTTCCATTTTTGCCTTTCTTCCTCACCTCTGCTCTCCACTCAGCAGCCAGAAGAATCCTTTCTAAAAGAAAATTTAGATTATATCACTTCCCTGCTCAAATTTATCCATCATCCTCCCATATATAGAATGCAGACATGCATCACTTAATGACAGGGATACATTCTAAGAAATGCATCATTAGGTCATTTCACCACTGTGCAAACATCATAGAGTGTACTTACACACACCTAGGCTATATGGCACTAACTTTATGAGACCACTGTTGTACATGTGGTCTGTCGTTGACCAAAATGTCATTATGTGGTGCATGGCTGTAAAATCCCAAGATCTTGCCGTGCTCTGACCCCTCCCCACCCCTCCAATTTCATTTACTTTCACACTTTCTCTTGTCCATTCTGCTTCATCCACAAGACTCTTTTCCATTCCTTATATACGCAAGCAAGCTCTTACTTCAGAGCCTTTGCACTTACTTTTCCCTCAGATACTGACATGGCTCACTCCCTCACTTGATTCGGGTCTCTGCTCAAATATCACGTATTCTGAGAGGCCTGCCCTGACTACTTCATCTAAATAGCACCCCTTCTCATGTCTTATTCTTTTAACCAGATTTGTTTGTCTTAGTGCTCCCCACTACCTTACTCTTCCATCAGAAGGAAGAGGACACGAAGGCAGGAAGGTTGCCTGAATTCATAGCAACTATGTGTGCCTAGCATAGTCCTTGGAAGACCGAAGTGCTCACTTCGGGTTTGTGGCTGAATCAATGAGTGAGTGTTCAGAGCTCAATGTCAAATTTCTGGTTCAGATATTCAGGGATGTTCTGAGTTGGGGTTTTTCACAGAAAATAATAAATGCCTAAATTCTACCTTATTTTAGGGCTCTAATCACCACCCACAGACTGCACAAATTTCAGAGATTGGCTTCACATGAGAATCTCACTGCAGAGAGACGCCAGGACCTGTTGTGATGTCATTTGATGATTTGGAGATTTTGATGCCAGAAATATGAGCCTCGAGCTCAGCATCCAAGTCCAATAACTCTCAGAGGAAACATGTATCAAGTAAACTTTAGGTGATGCAGAAAGGAAACATCCATGCAGTTTTTGGTTGTTGGGTTTTTTTCACCTCTGAAACTTCATCTATTTTTTCCAGGATACAGATATCATAAGCCATTGATAAGGTCTCAATACGTCATCACATTTCTCCCTTGATCTGGAGACTGTCCTTTGTTTAAAACAAACCAAAAGATAGCAATCTACCTTTTAATTAAAAGAACAAGACTGAAGATAAGTATATTTCCTTTCCTCATTGAGTTAACACAGGCCTACTTG